CCCAAGCGCTCCAGATCTCGAATTGCAGGGGCATAACGAAACTGAGACTAAATTAGAACCTATTTATCCCCTCCTTCCCCCGAGGGGAAGAAACGGCTTATACTCTCGAATTAAAAAACTAAACAATAAAAAAAAAGGAGGCGGAAAAATCCGGCACATCACGCCTTTTCTTTTTCCAATATATATATACATAAATAAATAAACAACATTTTTTAATAAATAAATAAATAAATAAAGAAACAAGTAAAATAAATAAACAAGTAAATAAATAAGTAGTAAATAAATAAATAAATAAGAATTATACATATATATACAAACGAGATAGCATGCGGTGCCATGCAGACATTTTAAAATACTACGATAATTTTCTTATAGACGATATGGAAATTGAATGCATTGACACCACACTATTGGCGCGGAGTTCAATGGCAGTGAAAGTTGTGAAAGTGGACTCACCCACGATGTTCTGGGTCCAATTGAAGACCGGCAGTGAGGACTTCCAAGACTTGCTTGAGGAACTAACCCGGAGAATGACACGAAAGGGACACATGCTGCGCCATCGTTCCGACCACATCGTTGTCGGAGAAGTCGTGGCCATTCGTGAAAACCGAGGATGGCAACGCGGAATTATAACAGACATCAACGGAGACGGAACGGTCGCGATCTATCTACGAGACTGGGGCCGTAACATGGAGCGCCGACTATTCGAGGTGCACATTCTGGAAGACAGATTTTGCCAGCTAAAATGGCAGAGGATTCCCTGTGGATTGGCCCACACTGCCCCCTTCTCCGATTCATCTTGGCCAAGGAGGGCAAGGGACCTGACCAGGTTCCTCATAAATTAACACGAGGGACGGATGTCCATCTTAGAGACCATAAAGAACGAAGCCGCGCTTATTAAGCTAGAAATACGGAGCGGAGGTGATACTCGCGAATATCACCACGTAGATTTAAAGGAAACATTGATTAGATTAGGCTATGCCCAACATAGCGATAAGATGAGAACGGGCATGTACCCTTCCATAAAAAAAATATGTATATATATATATATATCTATATATATAAAAAAAAACAAATATATATAATAATAGCAATAATTAACAAGGCTTTTGAAGTCAACGCTGGATCTATATTGCGCAAAACTAAAGAATATCCATTAAACTAAATCATTAACTTATGTACGTTTCGGCTTACTATTTTAGCCATCCTCAGCAATAAAAATTATCGCTTATCGCACTATACAAATATATATATACATAAAAAAAAATTTTTCTTTATTTTATTTTACAATAAAAATAAAAAATAATAATAGTAATAAAAGGGTAGTATAAAAGATATATATACATAGAATTTTAGTGTGAAAAAAAAACAAAAAATCTTTTCTTTATTTTTAGACAAATTGTCCTGTTTTCCTCTTCTCTCTTATAAAGATTTTCTTTGTCACTTTTATTTTTATTTAGTATGCAAGGCTACTTGATCGTCAATCACAGTGTATAACTCACCAGTGTACTACCACCATCTCCAGATTACTAGATCATACAAAGATCTTCGTACTCCAATTAAATGAAAAGATCGGGTTGACAGTTTTCAATATTTGATCGAAACCCGTAATAGCACCCGGTGCGTTACGGCATTAAGGGAACACCGAGTCTGTTAAAGCATCTCGATATCTGCGACCATTTCCATGCAGAAATCTCAAACGAAGGATGCCACATAGTCTTTGTCTCGGCCATAGAGAGTCCGTGGACGACTGCAAACACTGTTCAACCCGCAATAAAACAACAATAAACGACGAACTCGCAGAGGAATGAATGTCGAAGCCGCAAAAAAAAAAATTTTTTCGGCACACCACGACATTTTAGACCGGAGATGGAAGGTACCTCCTACCATCGCAATGGTCGATGCAATAAACCTTTTTGTTGACGACTTTCAGGTAGTCATTCCTTTATATAGTGTTAATCACCAACATTCACTTGTAAATATTCAAGGAAGAGGAAAAAGGGAAGCAAAATAAAAACAAAACAAAAATATCAATATACATATATAGTTATACAAAATTTTCGCCTGCAGCAAAATTGTCAAATTTTAGCGTTAATTAGATTATATGCGCAAAGGTATCTTTCAATGAGCACCTAAGTACTTTAGTTATATTATCGCAAATAGGCGTAACAAGGAGCACGAAAGAATTCTGGAAGAAATCCTATATTTCCTTCCTGCTCCTTAATGACATAAGTTATAAATTTATGGATGCATGGTAAAACATTAATCCCCTTTATATGTAATACGCGTACATGTACACCAGAACACCATTATTCACTTGTAAAATGGAAGGACGAAAGAATTGAAAATGCGAATATTAGATACGGCCGATTCTTTCCTGCTTCTCTAATAAACCAAGGAACGTATATCTAAGAAATAACACTTAAATGTGGATCCTACGTTACTATGTAATCAACCCATCAAATCGTCGAAAGAAAAGAATCAACATCCTTTGTCGGCTCTTCTCTTTTTGCAAATGTTGTGTTTTTACACCCCAACATTTGTCTAAGGCTAGGGGTGTTACGTCCTGCAGACGCAGATTCTTTTCTTTCGAGAGAATCGACATCGCCGCAACTACGATTGGCCCCTGCGAGACGCGAGCAGGGGTACCCTTATAAAAATTGAATAACAGACCACACAGGCTCCGCGAAAAACTCGTAAACGTCAATCAACCCGGAAAAATAACAACACTAACGCAGGCCTAAAAGGGACAAGATTGCGAAAAATATCACAAACGGACCTAAGTCACGTGATGATAAAAATTCAAGCTATTGTCCGAATTGTTGACCAACAATTCCACCTTCAGAAAAACAGGCGCCGCGTCGCCATAAAAACCATAAAAACATGAGATAACGTCTCACAGCTGTTTACTTAGCCATATTTTCCGCGAGGATGACGGAATTGATCACTCGCTTAAAACAATCTTGCCCTTTTTAGAGAAAACATAAATCATTCCTTTTGTTCTCTAAACCTCTTTTAACAGTGTACTTTAGATTAACAACGATAGGACACCTTAAAAATCGTAAATCTCGAGCGACATTGCAACTAACTATTGCATCCTAGACAAAGGGCACTACGCCCTTTTTTCGGGGTATAAATAGAGGCCCCGCGGAAGCGTAGAGTCTCAGAAAAATCTTAACAGTTGCCGAATCCACGTCGCTAGTTCACAATAGATACAGTTTAATAGTAGCCGTCGGAAGTGCGCGGTAATTCCAAGTAGTCACGTCGGAAGTTATAAAGCAGTCAAATCCACGCGAGGTTCGCGAAAGTTCAACTCGCGCAACCCATTATTTGACTGGTCCGGTGACCTCTGAAGTTTATAGAGGGCAGACACCCGCCAATGCTATCCTTGGCTGGGCTTACGTGGATGATGGGAACCGACTCACTCGACCATAATCATCATCACCAGTATGTCTACAATTGCATGCCAGCCTCCCCCCCCTTTTTGTGCGCGCGATCGTGCGCCACCCACGGCGTCTGACGGGCTATTTCCACCCCCAGTTTCGACAGCGCTGGCCCACAGCGACGCCGAAACTAGCCTCCCGCGGAACTCAAACGAGCGCCTTCCACGGCGTCGAGGCCTCCGCACTCCTGCCCTCTCCTTCCAACCGCTATATATATATATACATATACGTTTCTTCTGCACGTAGACGCAGCAGAAGAAATGTCCGCGTCGTAAACCACGCGCCGTATAATATTAATATTAAAATAATCAGATCATAATTATCAATCTTTACTTCATTTCCTTGCCCTTAAGGCCCTTTCTCTATCCTTCCCTGTTCCCGTTTCGCACAGACACCAGAGAGCGTAGATAGAGCGAAATGAGTGATGAAACATCACAGCTGCCCCAAGGAAAGAGATCCAAATATCTTCATAAATTCCTTGTACACCTTAGCGTGTCACGGGCGCTCTATCTGACAATTCCTCTGAACTCTCTGGTTCATTTTTCCCTGTGCTAACGAAGGAATACGGAAGCTCGAAATCCCGTTAAAAATAATAAAAGATAATTCTCAAAAGTACGATAGCAATTCAATTCGTGCCTTTTAAAGGCACTGGTGACAGCAACCTGCCCCCACGCGTAAACACGCGCCGATAGCAAATCTCTCCGGAAGCCAAGGCTTCGCCCCGCGCGCCCCCGCTTTGCGCCCCGCGTCCCAAGAAACCTCTGCAGCGTCTCGAATCACAACAATCGCGACGAACACGCGACTTCGGACGTAACAATCTGTTTCATCTCAATGTTATTTTATTTTTAAATAATATAGCATTTCCCCTACAACGTTCACATAATTTATTATTTTATATAGACCAACGCGAAAATCAAGTATTTAGTAAATTGTTAAAATTAAAACTTTCCTTGTTCGAATTATTAGCAAAAATTGGGAAAATAAAATTATTAGTAGTAACTTTTGTATCACCACATGTTATGCATCGACAAGTAGAAATAATTTGATGCTCAACCAAATTTTCTATAAAATCATATTTAATACAAAGAGCTACAACAAAATCAAATGCATCTCGTTTAATACCAGTCGAAAAATACTCCCCTAGATATTTTCGTACTGCGTAGGTATTCAAATTAAGAACATATTCTGTTTTCTTATCGATGCGCTAATATATTCAAAACATTTAATTTATCAGAATTAAATAATTGTTTTCTGATAATAATTAAATGAAATGAACATTGTAATGTACTATTGGCATAGCATGAAACTTTGTCAGTATTTTGAAAACCACGTATAACCCAAGAAATAGTATTTTGTCGGATTTTTTGATCTGACTGTTGAACGGAAGTTATTATTTTCGCTAATGTCCATGGCACATCTTTAATTTTACGATAACTCTTTTGAAATAGTAATAATGATTTGTTCTTCTGGTTTATGTAGTCGTTTAATCGATTATATCCAATACTTGCTTCTTTACTAGTTATTATTGATAAAGAATCATGATTAATCAAATACGCATTAAGGTTCACTTTCTTTGCTAATTTTACTTTCATATTTTATATTAAAATTAGAATTCTATGAAGGCATTGTGAACAGCAGCTTAATGGACAAAACGCTTTATGTATATGTTACACGTACGACTGAAAAAATTTGAAAAGCTGAAATAATCCCTTTTTGAGAAATGATCTCCAGATCTCGGTATCGGCTGCACCAATTTTATTCAGACTGATCGCAATCGAAAGATACCGACGACATATAATAAAAGTGTTTTTAGATCTTTAATTGCGGCTGTAGTTTCTGAGTAATTTTAATCTAAAGTATATACAAATTTAAACGGGCCGCTTGACCGCTTAACGTGTGAACGTCATTGCGTATATGTTCATGTCGTTACCAATTCGCGAGGCTATAAACGACATGAATATATACATAATGATGTTCACACATCAAGCGGCCTGTTTTATATTTTTATACACCTTTAATTTAAAAGTAATTTATTAAAGTATTAAAGTAACTATACAGTGAAATGTCGACACATAATACAGTGCCAATGAAACTATAGATAAATAAGTCGATAAATGACAGCAATAAACGAGTGCCATCTACCGTCGAAAATATGAAAAGGAGATGACTTTTTGAGGAGACATATCTTACATGAAATTTTGACATTTCGGATTTCGCATCACGATATCTCCGTTCGTGGGACACCTAGAGGTAAAATAAACGTTTATTATATAATTCGGACCCAAATTGTCGATGGAGCCCATATTCAGAACTCTATCGGTCTAGCCTTTATTAAAAAAACCGAGAATTTCGGGGGTGGCACCCAGTTGGACACGGCTCAATTGGACACGAGCCATTCACACCGCTTGAGACTACAAAGCTCCTAAGCACCGGTCGCTGTGATTGGTGGTGTCCAATCGAGACGTGGTCAATCGGGATCACCCCGAATTTCGGATGCTCGGATGCCCGCAACTCGCTGACTCGCGTAGAGACACGCGTGTCTCGCGCTGCGCGCTTACTTGGCGC